CAGTTAAGTGCCTCTCAATCAGTCTTTCCTATTTCTCTCACCAGCTCCCTGTCCCAATTGCCTTATTCTGCCCTGAGAGCTTCTACTACCGTTCCCATCTCCTCCAAGCTGTCCTAGTTTGTCCTTTTATCTTAAGAGCTTCAACAGAGACGCTACCAACTCAACAAATCGTTCCAAACTCCTGTTTGTCTACTTTACTTAAATCACCTGGTTTCATTCTTCTTGCTATTAGAGAAATAGCATGGGAATAAGAGTGCTGATAAGCATTTGGTCAGACCAAAATCTCTGTTCTGCATCCACCCTCACCACAGGCCAATCAAAACAACATTAGCTAGCCATCACAGAAGTAGTTTAGCTTTACAGTCCAGCGTTGGAACAAGCACACTCAGGTGTTCTCTGTAGCTGATGTACATGAGTCCAACCAACAAAACGGGCAGAGTATATTTTGTACAGGTCAAATATTTGGAGATTTTTACATGCTAAAATTGAGGAAGTTAATACATGACACAAAAGCTAACCTTGCCAAATATCAAGTTTCTTATCCAAAACATGGAGGTACTGTAGCACAGAATCACGAATATCAGAAGGGACCTCTGGAAGTCACCTACTCCAACCTCCTGCTAAAAGTATGTCTAATAAGAGCAGGATGAAAAGGGACTCGTCCAGTCAAGTTTTGAACATGTCCAGGGACGGAGATTCCACAGCCTCTCTTGGCCCCATTCCCATGCTTGATCACCCTCATGGTAATTTTACTGTTTTGTATTTACCAGCATCTCTCAAAGTAAACCATTAAAATTTATTTATTTGCTATTTCATACTGCTGTGATGCAATTTAAAACAAACAAACAACAAAAAATACCATGTTATGCACACCATGACCCTTTTCTGGGAAGCTTAAATACTACCAAACACATAAAGCTTTCCTATACTCCTGGCAATAGTACTCTCTAGGGTACTATTGACATAGAGCTTTTCGGGAACTTTTTAACAATATGTTCTCCAAATGTTTCCACTGGACATCACTGAGTAGCCAAAACCTGACAGGAATATAAAACTAGCTTTGAAAAAAATCATTTTTTGTCTGACTCAGACCAGGTACTTGAGCTTTCTTTTTTATCCCAAGAAAACGCAGATATGGCCTAGTATCATTACGGAATTGGATTTCCCAACTTTCCCTTCCCTGCACCAGCTGCCCGACACTTGCAATATTTCCATCTACTGGTTATTTTGGTGTGGTCCTCTCACAATCACTCCTTAGGGATTTATCGTAATTTTTATTACTCCTTAAATATTCACTGGGCTAAAAAGAAAGACAAAGAACATAACTAACAGAACAAAGAATGAGAAGACAAAAAAAATCTTTAATTGCCCACAGACTGATGTTAGGAAGGTAATGAACAAGAACTTAAAGCACTCCTTCAGGAGCAGAAGTTCAACCTATCTGATATTCGTGAAGCTGGTGGGATGATTCACATGAATGAAATGTTAAAAATCGATAGATATAATGTATTTAGAAACATCAACAATGGAGAACAAATGGCACTGTATGCCAAAAATGTCAGTGTCTGTTTCTGAGTCACTGACAACAGAAAAATCACATCTTAAGAAGTAAAGTACAAGACAGAATGCTAGCTGGGGTCTGCTACAGATACAAAATCTCACATACCATGGTGGTTAAGCATCTATTGTGTCTTGTTGGAAATAAAGTTTCATTATCACAGTGGACATAAGACTGAGTGAGGTCACCTGGAGCTCTCATGCTGCCATTATCAGAACATGCTTGAAATTTCTGAAAATTGAGGACAATTTTTTATGCTGAGAAACGTTACATCCAACCCAAGGGAAAGCTGTGTTTGACTTCATCTGGTCATATAACAAGTATCCCACTGTGTCATAGAGAACAAATACAGAACAAAGACAGTTCCTGCCCCTAGGTCTTAAAAAAAAAAAAAAAAAAAAAAATCAAAGAATATATTCCCAAATACATTTTTGCAAAACGACTTAAGCAGTCCCACCCCTACTTGTGCTACTCCCTCAGTTGTGCTGGAATAACTGTTTGTAGTAATGCATGGTGAACCAGTTCATGGAACCAGATCTGAGTTAAACCAGAAGGGGGAACTGATCTAAGTTAAAGCAACCTTTATTTTAAGAGTATACTTTTAACTTACCAATTCCCAGATTCAGTTCATTACATGGTATAACTTAGGCGACAGAACAAGGCAAGAACATACAGCTGCTGCCTGAAAACTCTTTAATCTGATTTGCTAACGTGGACCCAAGGAGATGAGAAAGAAACACAGACAGATGAAGCAGAACAAGGACTCCAAAAATGATCGTTATAATAGGCAGCAGTTTATTTTTGTGAATTTCAAACTCCTTGTTCCAAAAAAAGAAGAAAAATTTAAAAAGTATCCAAGAAAGCTCCACTGATTTTTGTCTTGTTGACAGGCATGTATCAAGTGTGAGTTTGCCGTTATAATAATTTATTGATTTTGATGACTCTGCTTGCTCTCTTTCTCCTTGGCCCAGAGGTGGGCAGCTACATTAATACAGTCTCGTAACTTGCGACTTGCCGTCACATAGATACATGATTCTCAGTAGTTTAGGTTTTATTTCACAAGACTTAATCGTATGTTTCAGTGGGGAAGTGCTCTTTCACTCCGTGTACTATTCTCCTCAGAGAGAAAGAGGGTGTGCGCGCGTATGAGCATACGCACAGCTGTTTATCCCTCATTTCACCATATTTCCATAAAGCCTTTATATAATGGCTCTTTCACTACCAAGTAATCCTGTTACTGTATTTCTCCTTTTAAAATATTTCCTATTTTGTTTTTGACTGCGGTTTCCTTTTTTTATTTAAATCTGATCCTCCTACTCATTTCAACATCTTAGTTCTTGGGATGGGTTCATAACACATACATTCTGCAAGATGAATTACACAGTCGTTTGTTGGAAAAAAAGTTAGAAGCTTTCAGGGTTGCTTGGTTATACTCTTGTCCTTAGGAGAAGGAAGGAAGGAAGCAAGGAAAGAATATGGTTTAGCATCTTCTTTAGTTAAATGAGAAGACTGAGATTTGCATGGATTATATGCTAATGGTGCTATTCATAAATATTACATTTACTCAAATGCGAATTTCAAATGCTTTGTGAAGCCAGCCTTGCAGAACATTAAAAGAAACCACACCAACTATATTATCTGTCAGGCTTGGTCAACACACACAACATTGAAAACAACTTGGGAGAGTATCTGGCATATTGACAATATGATCAATCAGAATCACCTTGTGCATCTTCTCAGACAAGTAGTTATTGCTTTAAAGAATGGGATCGTTCCCCTTCTGGCATAGGGGAATGTGACAGCTGTGAAGTACAACAGAACTACCAGCTCCCAGCAAGCAGCAAAAATAAGACTAGAATGAGGTCCACTATACCTGTTCCTAAGCCAAAATTTACTTCAGTTAAGGCATGAAGAGAAACCGGAGAACCCATCTTCCCTGTGTCCCACCAGGAGCTTTCAGCATGCAAGCTGCATAAAGTTCACGTGGTGAAGAAAGCTCAGTAGGCCAGCAGAGTATGAACGCCACAGTGGAAATGTCCAGAGAACTCAAAACAAATATCTAAAACATTTAATCGCAAATGGAAAATGGCAACTTTATGAAGCTTATAATTCAGACAAACCCAGACTAACTTCTCTTGGGAAATGGTTCGCCATTTCCAAAGCTATCTTCCTATTAAATTTCATATTTCTTATCTATGTCTTGGAGACGCCTAGAGGTACTTACACTACTCTGGAATATTTTCAGTACAGTAAAAACCATTTTTCACTATGCCACTCTCAAAAAAAATTGTGTTTAGATCAAATATTGACCTGAAATTGGCAGTAAACATGAACATTTCACTGTGATGATACCTGATGATAAACAACAGAAAACATGCAAAAACTAGGATCATGTAATGTTATGAGTCAGACTTTAAACATACAAGCATGAAGAAATATAACTCTGCCAGGTCCAGGCCGAAACAACTTCGGCCATTTTTGTGCGTATAATTCATTAAGTCGTGCATGATAACTTTAACATTTGGCCTTGCTGGGCACGCATCAGGTAGGGACCTGCTTCCAGTCAATGTCAGAATTTGCTCATTAGCAGTTCACTTGACAAGGCTTACAGTTCGTTTTGATTTTAACCATCATTTTGCTTTCAAAGCGTACAATAAAGCCAACTGTTTAATTTTTTTTTCTTCTCCTGATAGAGAAAACCCTTATTTGCCGACCAGAAAAATTCCCTAAATTAACTGATGTACTAGATCTACTGATTCACGTAATACTACAGCTGCTAAGACGATGCTTATTTCAGGTAAGCATAAAAACAAAATCAATACTTCAGAGACCAAAACCTCTATATAGCAGGCTTAATACACACTACTGCCCTTCAACTTCTTCTGGGCAACATGAAACTGCAAGATTATTGAAACTTCAGTAACTGTATTGCAGAATCACTTAAAATTAGCCTGATTAACTCTACATAGCCCAACTTCCCTCTTCTGGACACCAGCTCAGCAGAATATAAATTGCAGTATTAGACTGGTTACATCAAGCCGGAAGTCAACATGACTGAAACCCTTTCTGGGAGAGTGTGACCAGGAATAAAAGTAGTTACATAAAGACTGCACTAGCCCACAGAGCAGGTCACCAGCAGTATCATAAGTAATTAACTCATAGGAGCAGACTGCTTAGGAAACTGATAAAGGAGCTTTCATCTGGAATCAGTTCAAGTACAGGGTAACTCAGGCTGCAGTTTCATGATTTGCTGAAGCCCATTTCATATAGCACTTTCAGAGGAAGTGGTCCTTTCCCTATCCTTTTTCCCACCTCCCCACTGCAAACCAAGCATTCCCATGCCTTTCCTTAGGTTGGCACTAGCACCTGTGAGATGACTAAAACAACTGAAAAGAAGCATTTTATTTCTCTGGTTTCGTATCAGCTGCATCCGTTTCCTTACCTGGCTCACCATGCAGCCACCTGACCACCACCACTCCCAGACGGGCCAAGGCAGAAAGGCACAGCCACTGTCAGAGGACAAAGGAGGACTGTCCCTTTCAGCAGCAGCAGGGACATCAACCTACGAGAACCGCTGTGAAATCACACTCCGAGCACTCCCTTTTGAAGGATCTGTGGCCAGAGTGAAATGACTTGGTGGTCTCAGCCTAATTGTTTCAAATAACCAGCTGTAAAACAAAAATCACAACCAAAACTGGTACTTAACAGATATCTGATGGTAAGTTGAGCAGAAAGCTCAAGTATTATACAAAATTGAATGCTGTATCTTTTCACCTTCCAGAAAGATTCAATCACATTAGAAGAACAGTGTAAGGAATACACTGGTAGGTAAATATTAAGTTCCCAGAATTTCCAAAAAACAAAAAGGCCTCTCAAAAAAAGAAAAATAAAAAGCATGTGTGTGTGCACGTGCATGCGTGTGTATAAAAACATTCTAATCCCAACACTCAAAACACGGAACAACATCCCTGCAAAATAACCTTTTTTAAACCCATTAAATTATACTTTAGGAATTCCACTCAGTGCAAGGCTGTGAAACTGACCTACAGACTAAGTAGATACATGTACATCCATACTTACAAAGAGAAAAAACATTGCTTCTAAGGCACATGCACACACAAAAAAATCTCAGGGCAGCATTAAATTTCATAAGCAGATGTTTTCATGCCTAGTGTTAACCAATTTGTTTCAGTGAGTGAGTGGGAAAAAAAAAAGAAAAAATATCCATTTACTCTTTGTATGTATGCTTTACTTCAAGGAATTCCAGGAATCTACTGTAACGTTAAAAAACTCCTCAGTAACCACAGCGCATTGCTCCCTAGAGGAACAGTGGGTCAAATTCAAAGTACCAGGAATAGACTTGCACTCAGAACTTTTTCTATAGAACTTGACATGGACAAAAACCTCCAAAGTCAGTGCTGAGTCTTCGGGGCGGGCAGCAGATAAGACCCTACTGAGTAATTACAAGGCGCTCTCCTAAACATCAGCTAACTATTGCACAAAAGACAATTCAGTAGAAATTTGGTCAAGACAACTAACAGATTAACGTATATTCATAATTGGCTACAACCACTGAAAAAGCAGTCTGAAGAAAATGGGCAAAATCCAGACACTGGTGAGAAAATTCCAATTATTAAAGGTATTTTAGTAAGACAGACAGCACTAAGTGCGTACTAAGTGTATGCTTCTCAAACGATGATGCCCTTGTCCACACCTCCAGCTGCTCAGTACTGCTGCCGTGCTGGAAGTTTTCATCTCATTGCTACTCCTACCAGCACCTGCTAAACCGTTTTAGACAAAAAGAGTCAGGTCCACTTAAACACTATAAATATTACATCTGTGTTAACTCAGCACGTTTTGACTGAGACAGGTTAGGGAGTGCTTACACTGACAACATGAAGGACAGCACGTAAGACCTCCAGCAGATAGGCAGGCAGTAAGCTGCTGGGAAGAGGTAATGGCAGTGACTTCAGCAATCAGTATAGCCGTAGCCTGGGGCTGATGCTTGCCTAGAGCGACCCTATGAAGGCCAGCAGCTTAGTGAGCAAAGAACGTTATTTATCGGAAAAAAATATTAAAAAAAAAGTGGAGAAAGCATACATAATAATATTTAAACCTCTCAGTATATAACATATGCTGCGTTCCAAACTCACTGGAGTAACCAGAGAGCAGCTTGCTGTATTTTACATTGGTATCACTCTGTGATACCCTCCAATCCCTTATGTCCTTTCAGCTACTAATGTTGTAGGAGTCTTCCCTAGACATTTTTGCCTTGTTTCGCACGATTACAAAATACCTAATTTTAACATCTTGCAGGCATTTTCCAACCAATATGCTACCATCAGTGCAGTTCTACCATGGGCAGCATAATGCATTACCGCCCTCTTTCACCTACACTTTCATTAACAATTCCAAGAAAATATTAGTGATTACTGAAAGAATCCCTCCTTTTTGCTGTACTCGTGCTATTTATGCCTCTGCAAAGGCAAATATTGCCACCCTCCTACTCTTTAGTGTGTCACTGAATCACTATTCAGTTAAGAACACAGATATCTTTATCATTGCTGTTGATTTTGTAATATTTCCTTGCCAGTGATGGTATATTATGCCCAGGCTCCACTGCCCGCTTAATCAGACTTACTGCCTTAGCCAAAAACTTCACGTAGAAATAGTGCAAAGTAGATGCTACACTTTGAGAAGACTTGTTAACCAGGCTTACATGAGACTGAGCAGCTGGGCTCATGTAATACTACAGTTAAAACTTATCTACCTAAAAGGCAAGCAGTACCATTCTCCACCAAAGCTTCAGTATTTAGTTTTGCAAGAAAACAGAAAAAAAAAAAAATCAACATTACTTTAAAAGGCAAAGTACATGTCTTTCAAAAGGAACCATAGACACCCATCTTATGTTTCAGAATAATGAACTTTGATTTATCTAGCTGCCAAACCAAAACCAGATAACAGTAATAATTTAAAATGAAAAATATTCTTTCTACATTTTATGCATGGATAACTGAGAAATGACAAATATTTTATGACGCTTTCTAATCTGCCAGACCTACTATGAGAAATTTCAGTCCAAAAGAGTTTTCAATCACATATAACCATCAAAGTAAAACTCAGAATGAAAAAATTACCACTCAAACCTAGCTATATTAAGCCAGGAGAATTATGTTCATGCAGCAACTTTCTGTCATTTATGATTGTAAGGACAGCTTTTAATAAATAAAAGGGAAAACAGACATGTCTCATTTTGAGAAAGGAGCTGAAATTACTATAAAGCAGCAGTAATGATTATGATCCTGCATTTTGAAAAAAATGCTATAAACTATTACAAAACATGAGGAATGACAATTATCGTCTATTTCTAACTAATTTCCCACTCCAAATACCAAAAACTGTTTAAAAAGTGTAAATCAGTGAACTAATTACAGGTACAAAAGTGGTAAATAACTAGGCCTGGAAAATGCAAACATCCTAGGAAGAACATGAAACTGTGCCTGCGTTTTCCTAAGTCTGAGTAACAACGTGTTGGTAGCGCGCCTCCTTGACCTGCCACGAGATCTCATCTTCTGAATGTGTTTGCAAGTCTTAACAGGGCAATACAAAACTACAGGCATCAGAGCAATGAAAGCAGTTCATTAGCATGGCTGCTCTCACCAAACCAAATTATGCGGTAACGACCAGATTCATTCTAGGCACCGAGGCAGAGCATCTCGTTTAGACAATTAAAGCAGAACCCCCTTCGGTGGGGAAACCCCGCTAAGCCTGACGCTGCGCCCACTCCCGAGGTGCTAGGTGAGCAGCTCCTGAAGAAGGGCAGTTTGGGGAAGACGCATTTAAACAAGCGTTGAAGAAAAGGCGATTTTTCCTTGCCAAGGTTCCTTAACGCGAGGCACCTTTAGGGAGAGTTTTGAGAGGACACACAAAGGGGCGCCCCCCAAAATTAATAACATTACTGGGGGAGGAGGGCAGGGAGTTGAGGTGGGG